GACAACGGGGGGAGGGGAAGGGGTGGGGGTAGGGGGTTGTTTGAGGTCGGTTGGGGGGGAAAGGGGGGGGGGGTACAACAGTAGTGGCAGCCAAACGGAGACACGACTCCACCCCTTTCCGAGTAACTCCTCAGGCTCTTCGAGCTCCGGTACACAAAAATCAACGAGAAAACTCGTCGAACATACTTACGTACGCCATCACCTGCGCACTGCATCGAAGGTCACGCTGTTAACAGAAAATATTGTGCCGAGTCGCACGAGTACGACTGATGCATCTGATACAAGCACACAAGTGCATACGTACAAACGGCACGGAAGAAAAGAAAGAAACAAAAAAAAAAAACGTTTCCGAAGACGGGTATCATCTTCTCAGACACCAGACCCGCCCGTCATCAGCACCACTACCCACCACCGGCAAGCGCGAGCAGGCTCAGTCTTGTTGATATCTATTCATATAATACATGCATGTCTCTTACTTGTGCCGTCTACGTCGGAGCAGCCCGACCCGCCGCACATGTTGCACGCCACGATGCAGCACGCCTCCTCATTGCTGGACAAGATCCCCTCCAGACCGTCGGCGCACTCTGAGTAGTGTTTGTTCGACCACGAGCAACAACAAAAAATAAATTTCGATCACACGACGCAAAAGCGAGCGAGGAATAGAGCTACAATATACAATCAAGCTAAAGCGGGTCTTCCAACTTATGCAGAAGTTAGAGTGCTCCGCCTCACAGTCCCGAGCGCTGCGAGCGAAGCGGGGAGTTTCGGACCCCCCTCAATTCAACACGTTAACGCCGGCCGCTGCGAGCGAAGCGGATCCCCCTCAATTCAAGACGTTAACGACGGCCGCTGCGAGCGAAGCGGGGAGTTTCGGACTCCCTCAATTCAAGACCTTTAACGCCGGCCGCTTCGAGCGAAGCGGGGAGTTTCGGACCCCCCTCGATTCGAGACGATAACGCCGGCCCGTCTGCTGGCCCGCGCGAGGACGCCGATCGACTTCTCCCCTTCGCGGCGCCGACCGGAAAAGTCTTTCGATCGCGACCCCCTGTGTGGCGGGGGCTCGACGGTCGCACGCCTGCAGCGTTACGGCACCGTCAAGTTGGACCGACTGTCGACCTGCTGGGCTGCATCTCGACTCATCCCAGGATTCCACAGAGAACGCCTTTGTTCCCAAAAGAAACAGACCTTTGATTGGGTGAGGAATCGGCGGATGTCGATTAACCTCTCCTCTTCGCGGCGCCAACCGCAAAAAGTCTTTCCATCGCGACCTCCCTGCAGCGGGGGCTCGACGGTCCCACGCCTGTAGCGTTACGGCACCGTCAAGTTGGACCGACTGTCGACCTGCTGGGCTGCATCTCGACTCATCCCAGGATAATACGGAGAACAATTTCGTTCTCAGAAGAAACGTACCTTTAACGGCGTCTTCGCGACTCTCGAACCCGCTGACGACGTGAATTGGCGGAAATACACCCCCAAGACTTGAACCATAGACTAGTGTCACGAGCTCACATAACATTAAGTCGCTTTGTGTATCGTACACGCAGCGGCCCTCTTCAGTGATGCTGCTTTGTGAAGCTGTATGATGCTGTTTCCCGTGTGACCGCCGTGTGACCGGAATGTCCGCATAAGCGCACACTCACGAAGTCATGAAAGGAAATGTTCTTCACCTTGTGAAAAGACTAAATAAAAGAGTCAACCCCAAAGGGACGAAGGGATCATTCACTAACAACATGGGGGGGGGATGCTGTATGCCGATGACGCCGGCGTTGTTTGGAGGTCTGCCGACGGACTGGCGAGGATGATGGCCGTCATCGTGGAGGTGTTCGGGGAGTTCGGGCTGACGGTATCGGAGAAAATCACGGAGACGCTCCTGCTAGCGTCAAGGAGCAGCAACTAACACCACCGGTCCCCCCGCCGCCACCGCTGAGCATCGAGGCAGCAGGGCAGAGGTACGCCCAGACCGCTGACTTCCGGTACCTAGGTGGCCTCGTCAACGAACGTGGCGACCTCACCCGTGAGCTCCATTACCGGAGCAGAACAGCGTGGGGTGGGTGTGCGGCAGAAGATACGGCCAGGAGCCCTTCGACAGGCCGAGAGCACCGTTCCGACTCAAGACTCGCCTGCTCCAGGCGGAGGCGATGGAGGCACTGCTGTACGGTTGCATGACATGGACCCCACGTCGCGAACACTACCGTCTGTTGCGATTGATACATTCACCGGCTGCTCCTGCGAGCTATCGGTTACCAACGCAAGAAGAGCACCTACCGGCAGCTTTCCTACGCCCAGACCCTGAAGAGGGTAGGGTGCCAGAGCGTGCAAGCCACTGCTGTTCGGCAACGGCGCCTGCTGTTCGCGGGAGCATTAGCAAGGCAGCCAGACGGGCGACTCCCGAAACGGTTGATGCTTGGCGAGCTGGTGGAGGGGGAGGGCCCAGGCCGGGGGAAACGGCGCAAAACTGGCAGTTGCGCCTGAAGGATGACCTCAAGATGTTCGAGGCAGAGCACGGACCTACGGACACCGAGCCATGTGTCTTCGGAGTCCCGCAAACAACTTGAACGGAAGCAGCGAAGGAGGAGCGGGGTGTACCGTGGCATACGGGCGTACTGCAGGGAGTTAAGAGGTTCATGTCCTCCTGGCACAAGGAAAGGCGGGGCCCGGGTGCTGAATCCTCGGGGCCCCCATCTCAACGGCTAAACGAGGCGCGCTCTCTTTTTTCTCGCCGCGTTCTCGGGCGTTGCAGACACGGCTAACACCGCCAAACAGCAGCACACACACCGGCACAACGCCACAACAGCCCACCTGCTTCGACAAGCATGCTACTCGGCGGCCACCACGCCAGCGCTACGGCCAGCAGTGCCACCAAGCGCGGCAATCGTCCCGCGACGCCGCGGAATCCGCCGCCGCCGGAACGCCTTCGCCCGCCGCCACCGCGATGACCCCTGCATTTCGTTACGCACGAGAGGATCAGCCAAGGATATCCCTGAAAAACTCGAAGAAATAGCATACATACCTTCTTCAGGTTCTCACCCTTACAATTGGACGTGGTGTAAAGCATTCCTGCAGATTCTGTTTTCGGTGACTCGGCTTCCAAGCTGCTGCTCGAACAATGAGCTCTATTGTCTGACTTTCATCTGTGGGGGGTCGGCCTTCCCTGCCCCCATCATCCACCCGGCACAGCAGTAGTCAGTGTTTCTATTGTACGCACTCTTGGAAACTTGGTCGTCGCGTGGCTGCGGTGAGTACATAAATCGCGTACCACCTCACACAAGCACGGTACTGCTGTAGACCAAGGTTTCCCACGCACGTTTCACAAAGCGGGGCATGGCGACGACTAAGATGCGGAAAACAGACATTCTGTGTCCCCAAAGTGTCCTCATTTGGGCTTCCAGCACGAAGAGGTTTAAGAACGTTACCAGTTCCGAAACCCAAATGCAGGCATTTCCTCGATTTCTCAGGTACAATTGAAGAGGATGCCTGCACCCCGCCATGTGACTGGGCCGAGGTCTCCCAATCCTTGCCTTCGGATTTTGGTCAAGTGATCGCCTTGTGGCCCATGGCGTGAGAGGGGAGCTGTGGGAGGGCGAATTTGTCGTGTTTCTGGAGATCCGCATCCTCCCCGATCCCCGCAATACTTCGGGGGGATTCGACAATTGATTGTCTGTCGGACCCCGGGATTTCCAAGTGTATCTGCATGTGCAAAACTCCCAGGGGGTGGTGGAGTGGGCGATGTGTCATCGGCTTTGGGTGAAGGGATTTTAAATCTGACTTGTAGGGAGAAAGAAGGGGACTGACATGGACTTAGTTCAGCGGCCCCTCCTTACATCAGTCCTTACCTATGAATAGTACAGCAGTACTTAGCAAGGCAAAGCCAGCACCGCTACTGCTGTACCACAAGAGATAAAACCAACAGGTGAGTGTTCCACCCTGGGCTGGGTCTTGCAGAATGCACCGGACGTGGCATGGCAATCTCTTGTACCTCTTAATTACTGTAACACCTGTCCCGGGGAGCATTTAGTCATGCACCACTGCTGTAGGACTACAAGGGTGATGAATTTTAGTACAACTTTTTACAACTTAATCCACACTATTTATCATGCGCGCGCACATCGCAATGCAGGGGGATATAAACACGACCAGAGCAAGGCCGAATGAACCCCCACCCTTGTCGCGAGAAAGCTGAAGACGGAGAGCCGCAGGAGGAACCAGAGGCGAAAAAAAAAAAGGCGAAGACAAAAAACTTCCTCCGCGACGACCTTGGCTGGTGTTGTTACAGCGCACTGAAAGACGAAGACGAACCAACTGACTTTCAAATATAGATTGGGTGGCATCACACATGACACACTTTCTATTTTTGGTAGATCGTGCAGTATACAGCTTAGAAAAGCTTTGGTGGCAGTTTTTTGAAGTCACCGCTTGTCTACGGTTCATGGGTTGGTTTATATACACATGTGAACTTCGAGGGGGAGGAGAGGCGGAGCTCCTGCGTTGTAAAAAAAAAAAAAACGCGCGCGCGGGACTTCACCGATGCCACCGCACATCCCGCCAAGAGGACGGACACGCGGGAAGAACACTGGTGTTTCTTCGTACAGGCACACAGACAACCGCGACTGCACCAATCATTGTCACGCGCACAGAGAGAGAGAGAGCAGAAGCAGAGTAATGTGATGATGTCCGACAACGACCCGGCATTATCAGTCCATTTGTCTTGCGTACGCGTGTATCATACACACCAGGTAGGTGGTAGACCACCACCATTTTTTGTTCGCCGTCTTGGAACTTGGGAACGTTATGTTCCGTTTCCAAACCATGTTTTCGAAATGTTGCTTGGCTTCCCCACGTCGGACTTTTTCCCTCCTCTGCTCCACACACCTTTGCCTGTCGGCTTGCCGTGCACTGCTGCAGTAGCAGCAGTCTCCGCACAGCGTGGAGGGTGTTGAGAGCTCGCCGAACAACCGCCAGTGGGGCCGGGGACCAAACTCTCTGTCAACTGCTGTCGACATTACACAGTAGTGCACTGGCTTCTACGAAAATGAATGTGGGATGTGGAGCACGAGCGCCCGACTCTAGAATACGCCTCCGCCTGTCCCGAGCAGAATACATACCATCTCCTTGTCATCCACAGCAGTGGAAAACGCTCCCGATGGCTATATGGCCATCTCGGGAAGAAGAGTAGCTCAGGAACGCCGAGAAGCAAAAGCGGTTTTCTCTTCTTTTATTCGGCGCGTGAGAGGCAGCAGACAGCAGACGCTGCTGGCACTAAGCAACAAGCGCCACACACCTTGTCAGACACCAACACGCAGGCATACAATCTCTCACCGACACCTTGCAGTCGTGGCCTTTGGCTTCATCCTTTTGCTGTAGGGCGATCTCGGTGGGGGAAGGACCTACGCAAGCGGGTTCGAGATGATGGATGATAGCGCAACTTGCCACGAACGTGCGATGCACAGCCGCCCCGGCAGCCGGCGCTTCTGAACAGCTGAACAGTCAGAGAGGGGGGCTTGAGCACCCCCCCCATCTCCCGAGACTGTTAACGGTCCAGTTCGTGTGCCCCCTTCGAAAGAGCACCTGCCGTCCTGCCGTGGCTTCCCTCCTTGCCTCCACGCCAACAGCACGTCCGTCGGGATACGTATCAGGTAAGACAATACAAGACTTTGGCGGGTGTGTCCTTTGCCAAGCGTTGGCATTGCGGGATCCACCGACCGGAAATGCGGAAGCCCCGTCGTGTTGTTTTCGCGCCCAGCAGTTAGCAGGCGGAACTTGTGGCCTGGCCTGCCTCGTCTTTTACGGATTTGCTGCGGATTTGGCCGTGTCCCTGATAAGAGTATCGGTGATCTACAGCCAAGTACTTGCAAACGAAACCGCCCCGCTCCACGCATCCCGATGATCACTTTTCTCTCTCACCCTTGGCTCGCAAGAGGAATGCGACGCAATACTATGTACCGAACTCATGTGCGACGTCGTTTTTCAATGTTTCCAATCCGCGGATGGCGCCCTCTTGGCACTTGGAAGACCTATTGTACCGTCAATCCACCCCCTCGGGCTGCTGTAGCGTGCGTTAGGCTACACCCATGTACGTCCGTGCTGTGCGTCTGCCAGCACTTCGGGGGTTAGTGATATAGCCGTCATTCTAGCTAGGTGGTTTATGACCAGCATCTACAGCCGAAGTATGCGTAACGATCGATTTGTAGGTACAGCAGCAGTAGTACGTGCTAGACTCGCACCCAGTCCCACGAAACACGCCGCCGCTGTTGGGCTTTGCGCCTTTTCGAGCAAACAAGGCAGCTAATCCGTAAGATACTGAGCAGTGTCAGATGGCAGCGTGTAATGTGCTACTCACCACTGTCCCCGCCCAACACTAGCGCTGCTGCTGAATCAGCCCCCCCCCCCCTGAAAAAAAAAAAAGTCTTGCTGCCCCTGTGCGAGGGACGGAGGCTTACTGCTGTACAATAGGTTTCTCTCCAACAACTTGTACATACAACACCCGTTATGAGACGGCGGGAGCGCATTGTAGGTCGGCACAGACAGATTCACCCAGCACGCCGGCTTCCAAATAGGTGGCACACTAGAAGTTTCCACGCTGTCTCATTTTTGTTTCTAGCGAGCTTGCGAGTTTTCCACGGCGGCATTGTTCGCAGCATGCATTTTGACGCGATATCTACCTCCCGGCCCCATCATAGGATGAGACGATAACGACAACGATAAAGAGGCCGGCTCTCTTCTTTTTTCTGACGAAGTAAGGTTGTGATTGTGATTCATGTCTTGGGAACCAACCAGCCTTGTCGTCTTGTCGCGGGAGTTCCGGACGTGGTGCCGCACGCATCACGAGAGAGAGAAAGAGGGGCGGCATGGTAACCTGGCGCGTGACGTGGCATGTAGTGACTGCGAGGTGACGGCAACTAAACAGCAGTCAGGGTATTAAACACGAGCGTCATCCTATGCGCCTTTGATGGCAGCTGGGTGGGGATTGGGGTTTTGAGGTCAAGTCCCCACGACACAGCAGTAGCGACGACGACCAACAAACACCTTTTTTGTTTCCAGTTTTTAATTGCCGTGCAGTGCGTCGATGCTGGCGTGCTATTTATGCTATGATGCTTTGTAGGTCGAACAACTTGTTGTTCGTCCGTACCCCATCCCTTCACGATCTCGACGCGTGCAGAAAAGAAAAAGAAAGAGAAAGCCGGAGAGGGCGAGAAAGCAGCGGCGCGGCACCTATTGTACGCGCAACCTTTAGTTTCGCTTGCTTGGAGACGAGTGGCGGAGAGGGAGAGGGAGACACGCGCCGCCACAGCTTGTGGTTTGGGGAGAGACAGTCGCTACCATGCAGTGCGCAAGTGAGAGCCGATCGCGTGTCGTGCTGTTTTGATCCCTGCGTGTAAATCTGCTGCAAGGGCGCGCGCGCGGGGGGGGTGGGGTGAGGGGGGTAGGGCTAGCCGAGAGAGACAGTATTTTGCCACAGAACGAACATCACTGTACTCGTACGGCAAGGCGTTGGTCTTGCTTTTCGTTTTCCAGAACACGACAACTTCGATGGAGGGACCAGCTGCATGCAGCGAGCAGGTATAACGTTTATACAACGTTACGTTGCGCGGTATCTGCCATCGCCGAAGAGGGGGGAGTTCCGCGTACGAACGTGCGCATGCTGGGTTTTTTATCACCTTGCTGTCCCCCCCCCCACTCGCGCTCCTTGCTGCGCCCGAAGCAAGCGGGTGCGGACGTTCGGACAAATCGTTAAGGAAAACTGATCAGCGTCGGGACGCATCATAACGGGGTTGAGTTCCGCGCTTTTGTTGCGGCCGCGCCAACAGCAGGGTGAGGCTTGGTGCTATCACCACCAGAGCCGCGTGCGTCCGCAACGCAATACGGTAGTTGATGCCATCAATCACTATTCCCCGTGAAGGCGCGAAAGACACTCCCCTGATAGATGTCCTCTCTGTGTCTTGTCTTTGTCTCGCTGCCCCTGGTTCCGTCACCGATGCGGGCGACGGTTGTACCGGCGGCGCGGTCTCTCTGCGTTTGCTTTTTCATTTGCTGCTGCGTGCGTGGTGGGCAAGTCTCGGGACAGACCCCGGAGACCCCGGTGGTGTCGAAGAAGTCGGGGCACGTCTACGAGAAACGGCTCATCGTCAAGTACATCGATGCCGAGGGAAAGGTGACACAAGAGAGACTGGTTTTAGGAGCGGTCTGTCTGCAATCTCTTTCGGTGGGGGGGGGGGGGGCTGGGGAGCTGCTCGTACAACATGCTCCCATCGGCTCGCCCTCCGCGTGGAAGCACAGCGACTTGCGACTTGTTGCGGGGCGGGAAACGTTCTCTTTTGCGAGAAAATAGGCAGACTTCACATTGAGAACTCCACCTCACGTTTTCTCTAGGGGGGCGGCCCGACTGCCGTGGTTGCGCTAAAATCAATTCGATTTTCATGTCGCCCTTCTTGCTTGGTGAAACACGGGACGACGATTGTTTTTGAACTTATGGTGGCGTATGCGTGTACGTATGTGACGGCAGTGCCCCGCAACCGGGGAGGAGCTTACCGCGGACGACCTGCTGGATGTGCGATCGGAGGGGGCCGTCAAGCCCAGGCCCGCCGAGGCCGCCTCTATTCCCGGCCTCTTTCTTTCCTGCAGGTGAGA